GTGTTCATCCTCTGAGGAGGGGAAATGATTTGTGGACATGATGGACGGATGAAACTTAATAGAATGAATAATCGTTTTTCTTAATACGTGGGAAAGCTAGAGTATAAAACACTGTCTGTACTTGTACAATCATATCATTATTGTGAATAATGAAAAAACAGTATAGAACACTGTTTAAAAATACGCAACGCAAAAGACAACACAGTCAAATTGGTGACTGACCAATACCGTCGTTTTGGCTCATGTCTCACGGACTTTCTTTAAGGCACGTGAGTAGATGGATCCAGAAGATTTTCTGATTTACCAAGCTCTACTACCCACTTACCTTAAAGAAACTCCGTGAGACACGGGCTGAAACGTAGATATTAGTCAGTCATCGGATTGTCCATATTGTCTTTTGCATTGTGTATTAAATCCTGTTTTATGCTGCTTTTCAGTATGATCATCAACGCACGAACGAATCATGCTATCCCGTGACTTCGTTAAACGTTATTAGTGTGGCTTCAATATTTGGATTATTTTACGTTCATTCATTTTCAAAACATCGTGTTCTTTTGCGGGTCACCTAAGCCGCTGCTTCCAGAGATGTTTCAGTAAGTTCAGGTACGATGCCAAGTGGACAAACTCAGTTGTTTAGATTCCATGACAAGAAGATGCCGCATTTATTTTAAAATAGCGTTATCTGGTTCTCTCGGCAATGTCCGTTTATTTTGCTTACATAAATGTCTTCTGGTGAATTTTTCATTTATAAAGTACATGTTCACGCACTGAACTGTGTCTCGTCACCGAGACGTGCAACTTGCTGGAATTGGTGTAAGTACTGCATTAATATCAGTTAGCGACCTGTGCAGTCGGGCTCATCACCAAATAATTGACGGTCCTGATATAAATTTATATTTGCCTTGTGAGAAATTTACATTTGTTCATATGCCGTCTCCTTCAGTTTATGCTGCCCTTGTTGTAGAAAGATGAGTTCATGGAGTACCTTGTCGGATGGGCTCCGGAACCGGCGAAGCCACGGAGGGAAAGTGCTTCGCACGTCGAGGAATTCTTCAGAAGTACCGACCAGCTGCGCAGTGCTCGCTACGCTATGAACTGTTTCAACCAGTCGCTGATCTGGGGCAGCCGTGCGTTGTCTTCGAGTGCTGCCTCCGAAACGGGACCGAACGACGCGGTTCATCTGATGAACGACATGTGCTGCGCCAGAAGCATATCCATGAGCTGTGACGTGGGCTTCGGTTTGAAGAAGGAGGGTTTTCTGAAGCCGCACGTTCAGAGCAAGGGCAATCTGAACAAGGTCTGCTCGCGGCTGCTGGAGCATTCTATGGTAGACCTGTCCCGGGTGAAAATCGAGGCGGTCGACGACGACTGCTCACCGCAATACTCGTCCGGCCGAATGTACAAGTCCGAAGGTGGCGCCAGACGAAGGATGAACGCTGAATCGGGGACACCGTACGAGTCGTCCGTCTCACTGAACACCTACCAATGCTGTAACCGGGCGGCGATGTTCTTCAGCCCGATCCGGGACCAGTGCTCTTGCAGTAGTTGTAGTAGTCCGGCGTCGAGCAGTCCGTCGCCGAATGCATTTTCCTCGTTTCAATTCTGCCCTCCTCAAACCATTCAGTTTCTACCTCCAGGCATCGACCGCAAGGTGTTTTTCCCGCCGTCGATATGGCCTGACAGAGCCACCGGCTTCCAGAAGTACAAAAGGCGAAACAATCCGGAACTGGAAAAACGCCGCGTACACTTCTGCGATTATCCAGGTAATTCGGATCCTGTCTCGGCAGAATTTTTTCAGACATTTTTTTATGCATAATACCTGTACTTTTAGGCTGTAAAAAGGTTTACACGAAAAGTTCGCACCTGAAGGCCCACCAGCGAATTCACACCGGTAAGTTCAATTATGAATAGTCTTCGTTCTACAAATACGCAGATATAGATGCTGAATTAGTTTTCGAATTATTAGCGGCAGATTTTCAAACCTGGGTGAACCAGTGCAACTTCTTTTTTATGGAGGAAACTTAAACGTGACCTACTTTGGCGGCAGAGTATGCATTCCTTTCAGGTACTCGAATACTTTACGATCCACCTATATCAATCAATGGTCTGTATATCCAAATATCATTCCGTGAGAGGTGTCATAGTCTGTGATTCTTCTGAAAGAACAGATTTACGTCAGGACTACGGACTGGTCTATCGCATGGAATGACATTGCAGAAAGATCTAGACTGGTCGATGGACAGATGCATAGATTGACGGATAGCCTCAGATTTTGATGGGTGCACAAGCTGATACATGGCGCTGTAGGTAGACCAACAAAAGATGAATAAACAGGGATGGGTGGAATAGATTATGTGACCGTACGAACGAAGATACTAGTTAGATGTA